ATCAACCAGCAGCAACAACAACAGCAACTGTCATTAATGCAAGGTGGTGGCGGTGGTCATCAATTACAACGCCATCCACAAAGTTTACAATCGATCCCGCCCAATGCTGCCCATTTGAATTTTGTACAACAAAAGTAAGTTGGTGAAGAAGAGTCTTTGTTGTTCTTGTTTTTGTTATTGTTTTTTTGTTATTAATAAAAGTGGTTCAATTTTAATAAATTTTATTTATTATTTTTTTTACAGTTGCCTAAGTCCTCGCTCAGCTTATTTTTATGAATTTCCACCAACGACGGGTAAGTTTAGAAATTTTATTATTTTTTCAATTGCCAAAATGATGGACGGGACAACAAAAAATCCCATAAATCCTTAAATATCATTAAACTTATTTTTTTTCTTCTTCGATACATTGTATTCAATACATCACTCAGTCCACATAGACTTTCAATAAATAATAAAAAAGTGGTTAAAATTTGTTTTAAGCCTCAACGAAAAAAATCCCATAAAATCAGATTTTCCGGACAATGTGTTTTTAATGACACCCTGAGTATTTTTTTACGATGAGTCCTTTTTCAAAAAAGTGAAAAAGTTCAGGGGGGCTTAAAAGCTTCCTGTTTTAATGTTTAGAATTTTTTTTCGTGGCAAAAAAGGGTGACAAATCATTAAGTAACCATTTTCCATTTCCTTCAACCCCCTCCCCTTTAAATGCGACCTCTTCTTCTCTCGTACCAGTTAATGTGCAACCAACCCCTCTCTCGAGATACCATCATCGCTACCAAAGTTATAAAAGCTTCCGCTTTAAATTGATTTTACCGGAAACCCGTTAAGTAATTTGCTTATTTATACTTATGCTCCAGCTCTGCTAAATACGACATATGTATGTATGTAAATGTGTTAACTACCTACCTTAATGTCTTCTCTCATATCTTTATGGCCATTAGCACTCACGAATTAATGGAAAGCAGGGGAATAAAGAGAGGTTGCTAACCATAGCAAATCGGAAGTTCGAATGCAAAGTTATCGAACTGCAGATACATTATTCATTTAGACAAATGTAAGGTTACTACCCCTGGTGGGTCAAACGTGGTCGGGGGGAAGTATGTAAAGAGGAAAGTTATTTAAATGGGTTAGAAGTCATTAGTGTTCGTTAATAATTCGTTTAGGTTAATTGAATGCAACATATGGTCAACTAAAATCTTATTAACATGGTAATGGAATTTTGGTAAAGAGGAAGGATAACTCACAAGACGTATTTCAAAGGACTCAACCAAAGGTGTAGACTTTTTAAGAAATATTTTTCAAGGACCCAACCAAAGGCGTGGATTTTTTAAAGACATATTTTTCAACGACTCAACCAAAGGCCTTTGATTTTTGAAAGACATATTTTTCAAGGACTCAACCAAAGGCGTGGAATTTTTTAAAGACATATTTTTCAAGAACTCAACCAAATGTGTGGATTTTTTAAGGACATATTTTTCAAGGACTCAACCCAAGGTGTGGATTCTTTAAAGACATATCTTTCAAGGACAAAACTTAAGGCGTGGATTCTTTAAAGACATATTTTTCGACGAGAAATCAAATTGATCATGTTGTGATAACGGAAGGCATTCATCCAGTGTATTAGACGTTCGATAGATTCGAGGAGCGAATATCCATTCGGATCACTACCTTGTAGCAGCCAAGGTTCGCACTCATTATAATGTTGCAGCAAAGGTGCGATCTAACAAAACACGGAAACTCGACGTCGAAAAGCTGCAAACACATCAGGTAGCCCAGTCCTACTCCGGCCAATTTACCACCTGGTTGACGAAAGCACTTCTTGTCCCGATAATAGTATAGAAGCACAATGGCAAAGAATTGCCAGCTCCCTACAAACTGCAGCTAAAGCAACACTTGGGTACCAAAAACCACCACCAAGAAACCCATCATACGATCAGGAGTCTCGTAATGCTACTGATGTGAAAAGCGCAGCGTATAGGGCAACCCTGTAGACAGTAGCAACACGTAATGTGGTGGAGAATTATAAGGAGAAAAGGAGAGAGGAGAAACGTGATTTCAAAAAGAATAAGAAAAACATAATTATGAGCAAATCGAGATGTACAGGAGTCAGAATGAAGTCCGGAAATTTTACCAACGAGTAAAACACCAAACCGAAGGTTTTAGTGCAGGCAAATCCTCCTACAGAGATGAAGAAGGAAAACTGGTGACATATACAGACAGCGTGTTGAAGATCTGGAAGGAGCATTTTGAAAAGCTTCTGATATTAAATAGTTGCGGTGAAGAGGATACTCCAGAACCAATAGAGTGTATAGAGTGTATACCACCTAGCCAAGATGAGGTCATAAAATCAATTAATCGACTCAAGAACAATAACGCAGCAGGAGCCGACGGGTTACCAGCCGAACTATTTAAGACTGGTAGTCAGATACTGGTCCGGAGCATGCACTAGCTGATTAGTACAATTTGGCTAGAGGAATGCATGCCCAATGATTGGAACCTCAGCATCCTGTGTCCCGTGCACAAAAAAGGAGACAAGGTAGAGGAATAAGTCTCTTTCTCATCGCATATAAAGTGCGCTGTGTGAACGATTGAAGCCAATGATCAATGACATTATTAGACCATACCAATTCGGCTTCAGACCTGGCAAATCCACCAGATTTTCACTCTGTGCCAAATCCTGGAAAAGACCCACGAAAAACACATCGACACATACCACCTATTCGTCGACTATAAAGCCGCGTTTGACAGCCCTATCCGCTCAGAAGTGTTTAAAGACATGTCTACGTTCGGCATTCCTGCAAAATTAATACTCCTATCCAGGATAACTTTAAGTGGCACAAGATCAGCAGTTAAACTCGGAAAGGACATTTCGGAGCCCTTCAATACCGAACGAGGATTCAGACATGATGGCAGTTTGTCCTCTGGTCTTTTTAACATTCTGCTGGAAAAGGTCATACGAGCAGAAAAGTGAACAGAAATGACACTCTGTATACCAAACAACACATGTTACTCGCCTACGCCGATGACATCGATATAATGGGTCGATCATAGCGTGCGGTAACAGCCGCCTTTGATCAAATTGAAAAGGAGTCTGCCAAAGTGGGTCTGGCAGTAAACGGCGAGAAGACCAAGCTGATGGTATCAAAGTTCAAGACGTTCAGTATACTCGGACAAACTGTGGAACTTGAGAACTACAGCTTCGAGGTACTTAAAGATTTTATATACCGTGGATAACATCAGTTTCGAAATTCGGAGAAGGATTGTGATGGCCAACAGATGCTACTATGGTCTATGTAAGCAGTGTAGAAACAAGGCCACCTCCCGCCAGACCAAACTCACACTTTACAAGACGCTGATACTACCCGTGCTGTTATATGGATCTGAAGTATGGGTACTTGCGCAAGCAGACGAGGCAGCTCTTGGGGTATTTGAAAGAAAAATTCTCCGAAAGATCTATGGGTCGATCTGTCGACGGTGAATATCGGCATCGAATGAACCACGAGCTTTACAATTTATACGCGGACATCGACATAGTTAGTCGTATTGAGCCGCAGCGACTACGATGGCTATGCCATGTTCTGTGAATGAATGATAATGCCCCAGCTCATAAGGCATAGAAAAGTGAACCTACTGATAGTTCCCGTAGAAGGGCAAGGCCACGATAATTTTACCAATAGGAAAACTTGTTTAAGCTATTTTGTTGTTCTTCCTAAGAGCCTTGTGTCAACTGCAGTTATTTTATTGATATCCTTTTGTGTATATTTGTTTTTCTGGGGATTGAAAAAGTGCCATTGAGGATTTCCAATTCTATTTCAAGTAGTTTGTTATCCAACAATTTATTTTGTAAACAGGTTTGGCCATAAAATATTGAAATGCCAAATATTTACACACTTCAACTAACACCATCATCACCACGACACTATTATAACACACACTAGAAGGACAATATTATCCTTGTTGGTTGTTATCGCCTCTTGTCTAACAAACAAACAAATCTGCCGACAAAAATAAATTCTGCAAATGACCTTCCTTATTCGAGTATTTGAATTTGGAAATCCTTTATTATTGCGTGTCCTAAAAATTCAAGTGTTTTTCCCTTTTTGTTGTTGTTGGTGGCCTTGTTCAAATATCAAATGTCATAGTGAAGTGCTGAAGATGTTGATGTCTGCAACACAGAATCTATAGACTTTGCGTTTTTTTGCCAAATTGACATCAAATCAAAAATCGGCAGCCACCCTTTTTGCTAGTTTTCTTTGAAAAATATAAAAATTTCCAAGAAACTAAAAAAAAAACAGCCAGAGATAAATGGTCCCCAATCAATAGTGCCTGAGGAAAAAGGAACCAAAAAAATCCAACTCAGAAATCAAAAAGAATATCGCAATGATGTCACACTGCAGTCAAACAAAAATTGAAAAAGAACAGAGAGAAATTATGGGGAGGGGGATACAAAAAAAAAACTTATTTTTTTATTATTTCCAAGTCAAATATCAAAAGGAATTCAAGCAAATCACTTGATGAGCGATTGTGTATGTGTGTCTAAGGACATAACAAAACTAATAATCCGGAATTTGTAGATTGATTTTTTTCTATGGTTGAGTGATGTATTTTTCATGTATTGAATTCGGATATGTATGTTCGTTAAGATGTTCTTTTGTAATTTTCTTGTTAATATAATTGTTGTTCTTGTTGTTTTTCTTCTTTTCATTTTCATGATTTTTGTTCCAGAGGGTCGTGAAACTAAAAAACGCACAACATTAGCCCGTTTACTGAAAGGATTAAAGACCGTCAATCGTCGAGATCGTGCCAGCCATCAAAATACAGCAGCTCAAGCACAAGTCAGAGTAAGTAAAAATAATATCTTCAAGATAGAAAAGAATTAAAAATTTTATATTTAAGCACGCTTAAGAATTGTGAATATTTAAAAAAAAAATTTTTGAGGACTCATCCTAAGGCGTGAATTTTTACTTTACAAAGGCGTGGATTTTTTACACATGGTCTTAACAAAGACTTCGTTTTTTATACCCTACACAACTATGTTGTCAGGGTATTATAGCTTTGTGTAGTCCCAAGAATTTGTAACGCCGCGAAATATTGGTCCTAGACCCACCTTTATATATACCGATCGTCATATCTCGACTAGCTGAGTCGATCTATACATGTGTGTCCGTCCGTCCGTCTGTCCATTATAATTTGTAAACACGATACAGGCCACAATTATGGACCAATCTTCACGAAATCTTGCATGTAGGATGGGTTCTGGCCAATGAAGACCGCTATTATTTTTGGAAAAGATCGTTTAATATTTAGGGGATGAAATGGACCAAATACTTAATTTTTGTCTGATTTTCTGATCGCTCCAGAGGCCACAATTATGGTCCAAAGAATAAGCATGCCTCTTTTTTGATAAAGATTGGGCAATATTGTGTGAAATATTACAAAAATTGTATTCTACATCGTATATATTTACCCCTGAAGGATGTAGACCCAAGAAGTTGACAATATATCCAAGACGAGTGGTTGACCTTTAAATTGATACCAATTACATTGTCGTATGTAATCTGATGAGGGAGTTACACTCAAATATTTACTGATGCTTACGTATTTGGGATATTATTTAGTAACCCATTACCACATTACTTACTTACTTAGCTGGCTTGTTACAGAACGGTTGTTCCTTAAAAAAGATTTCCAAGCGCGTCGGTCTTGTGCGCAAATGCACCAATTTGGAAGACCACGTTCCAAGATGTCGTTCTACTTGGTCTTTCCATCTAATTTGTGGCCTTCCCCTTCTACGGGAACCATCAGTAGGCTCGTTTTTATATGCCTTTTGAGCTGGGACATTCTCATTCATCCGCACAGCATGATCTAGCCAACGTAGTCGCTGCAGCTCAATACGACTGACTATGTCCATGTCCGCGTATAAATTGTAGAGCTCGTGGTTCATTCGACGCCGATATTCACCGTCGACGAGAAATATTCTTTCAAACACCCCAAGAGCTGCCTCATCTGCTTACGCAACTACCCATACTTCAGATCCATATAACAGCACGGGTAATATTAGCGTCTTGCAAAGTCTACAGAACGGTTGTTCCATAAGCCGAACTTAAAAAAGATTTCCAAGCGCGTCGGTCTTGTGCGCAAATCCACCAATTTGGAAGACCACGTTCCAAGATGTCGTTCTACTTGGTCTTTCCATCTAATTTGTGGCCTTCCCCTTCTACAAGAACCATCAGTAGGCTCGTTTTTATACGCCTTTTGAGCTGGGACATTCTCATTCATCCGCACAGCATGGTCTAGCCAACGTAGTCGCTGCAGTTCAATACGACTGCTATGTTCATGTCCGCGTATAAATTGTAAAGCTCTTGGTTCATTCGACGCCGATATTCACCGTCGACGAGAAATTTTCTTTCAAACACCCCAAGAGCTGCCTCATCTGCTTACGCAAGTACCCATACTTCAGATCCATATAACAGCACGGGTAATATTAGCGTCTTGCAAAGTGAGAGTTTGGTCTGGCGGGAGGTGATCTTGTTTCTCAACTACTTACCTCGAACATAATAGCATCTGCTGGCCATCACAATCCTTCTCCGAATTTCAAAACTGATGTCATTCGTTTTGTTTATGGCGGTACCAAGGTATATAAAATCTTTAACTACCTCCACAGTTGGTCGGAGTTGGTACTGGAAGTCTTGAGCGTTGATACCATCAGCTTGGTCTTCTAGCCGTTTACTGCCAGATCAACTTTGGCGGACTCCTTCTTAATTTGTTCAAAGCTGGCTGTTACCGCCAAGAGCTGCTCATCTGCTTGCGCAAGTACCCATGCTTTAGATCCATATAATAGCACGGGTAGTATCAGCGTCTTGTAAAGTGTGAGTTTGGTCTGGCGGTGGCCTTGCTTTTGAGTTGTTTGCTCAGACCATAGTATCATCGGTTGGCCATCACAATCCTTCTCCGAATTTCAAAACTGATGCCATTCGTTTTATTTATGGTGGTACCAAGGTATATAAAGTCTTTCACTACCTCGAAGCTGTAGTTCTCAAGTTTAACAGTTGACGTTCGAGTCTACTGGACGTCTTGCGCGTTGTTACCATCAGCTTGGTCTTCTCGCCGTTTACTGCCAGACCCACTTTTGCAGACTCCTTTTCAATTTGTTCAAAGGTGGCTGTTACCGCTCGCAATGTTCGACCCATTATATTGATGTCATCGGCGTAGGCGAGTAACATGTGTTGTTTGGTGTACAGAGTGCACTCTCTGTTCACCTTTGCGTCTCGTATGACCTTTTCCAGTAGGATGTAAAAAGATCACACGACAAACTGTCACCTTGTCTGAATCCTCTTTCGGTATTGAAGGGCTCCGATTGGTCCTTTCCTACTTTAACTGCTGATCTTGTGCCACTAAAAGTTATCCTGCATAGCCGTATTAATTTTGTAGGATGATATGGATGATCAGATAAAAATGTTGGAATGAAGTGGACCGAAAACATATTTTTTGTGTTTTTTGGAGTCCATCTATATTCCAAAATTATAAGCCGAACATCACAACACAGCCCACGGTGAAGGGAATCTGGACAAGTAATTAGAAGGGCTATACTGAATATTAGTAATATTCGGAAAATATGTCAGAGTAAGGAAGACCCAATCGGGCAAGGGGGTTGCAAATTACGAAATGTTGTCCAGGCTCGGAATAAAAATACGCAAAAAGTTAGAGATCCGTGGTAGTTGTCCGACTATACTGTTCCGCTCACTGGTTTATAAATTATTTTTCGAGGTCTTTACAAAGGTGTGGACTTTTTATTGAAAATTATTTTTCATGGTCTGGTTTTAAGATTTAAATTTCTTACTGTATAACTTTAAACGATTTCCAAAAAAGGTCTTTAATCACTTTACAAAATGAAAATTGAATATTTTCACTAAACAAAAAACGAAGTAATAAAATAATACCCTCTAGACAGACCTCATACAGAAGAGAAAATTTAATCCCCTTAGCCACCCAAGGGGTACAAAATCTACCCCCACTCCCTTTAAACTCCATTTCATTTATTTACACATCCATTTACACACATGTCTAAAAGTTTGCATACCAACGATGTTGTTGTTGGTTGGTTGGTTCCACGGTTCGCTGGCTGGCTGGTTGTTTGGTTTAATGTTCGCCAAAAAACACAAGAAAAGAAAATGAATTTACTGATGTTATTATTCTCGTTACTTCTTATTTCAGTGTTGTTGTTGTTGTTGACTTTTTTCTCATTCGTTAAAAGACAGTAAAAAAGTCCTTTTCAGCACATAAAGAAAATTGTCTCGCAAAAAAACAGAAAGGAAAAGTTTGCGAAAAAATAAAATAAACGAAATTGTTCTTTAGAGTTTATAGACAGATACAGCAGAGCTGTTTGGCATTTTTTGTTCCAGCGGACTTTGCATTTATTTATGTGAAACAAATTTTTTGGAGCTGCTAACATCATAACGCCAATATCAAACAATACCAACCCCCAGACCATCCATCCCGCCATCCATGACCCCCGAACCACGATTGGTAAACATTTTAAGTGAAATATATATGTTGTAGACATGTGGGGTGGAGGAAGAGGGCTGGGGTTCAATATTTACTTGTCTGCTAAATATTAAAACTTTGTTTCTTGTTGTGTTGCTCGACAAACAATAACAACAAGGACACAAATGTTATAACTCGCAAAAAATAACAGCAACATCTATACCACACACACACACACTCACATACCCAAACAACATTCGAGTATGTAAATATTTAAAATATTTTATGATAATCGTTTGATATTCGGATGATTTAGTGTTACTGTCTGATTATGTAAAAACGCGAACATATGTAAAATTTATGTTTTGTTTGGAAAGGCATGACGCGGGATATATATACATATAAGTGTGGCGGGAAATTGATGTATAAAACACAGCGACACATTAGTTGTAGTTGTAAAAAGGATAGGGCTACAGCATATCTCAGTGACAGAGTCATCATTTAAAAAATCCACGCGTTGTAATAGTCCCTGAAAACTTCAAAAATAAGTCTTTAAACCAGTACGGAAAGTAATAAAGTTGGACTGGGCCTACTATATGATACCCTTCACCCCTTTGGATATATTCTACATATATATCCTAACAGGCGTCGCCTTTTCGGAGGAACATTGATATGAAATTGAGCAAACTTAAATCTAAATCAAGCTCGTTTTTCTCGAAACTTAACACACGAGCTATGGTAGAAAGATTTCCATCTCAAAGGCACGAAATCCAATTTACATTAATTTGAACGAAACTATATATTGGAGCTAAATCTAAATCTGAACCGATTTTAACGAAACTTAGCACACACCATTCTTTTCTCGAAATTTGGCACAAGTCATTCTCTCAATTGAGTACACCATGTAAAATTTCACGCATATCGGAAGATATTTGGGAATTTGGTGCACCATTTACATAAAATCGGACAAAATTATATATGGGAGCTATATATAAATCTGAACCGATTTTCTCGAAACTTAGCACACATTCAGTACCATATACCAAATTTCGTTCAAATCGAAGGATATGTAGGGTCTTTGGTGCCCCATTTACCTTAAATCGGACGAAAATATATATAGGGGATATATTTCTAAATCTAACCCGATTTTCTCGAAACTTAATACACATCATTCTAGCCTTAATTCAGTCCACTATGCAAAATTTCGCGCAAATCGAAAGATATATAGGGACGTTGGTGTACCATTTACATAAAATCGGACGAAACTGTATATGGGAGCTATATTTAAATCTGAACAGATTTTCTCGAAACTTAACACACGTCATTCTAGACTCATTTAGGTATACCGTACCAAATT